GCAGTTCTCCCATGCAGGTGGTCAAGTCATGATGGGTACATGTGGCATGTGGATGCAGGCGGCGCGGGGGCGAGAACCCTGGTGCGGATGTAGGGTGCCCCACAATAATATTCTCTGGTGGTTTTCGACAGGAAGTTGGAAAGCCCCAGGGCCTCCGCGAGTCTTGACTGCCAGCGAAGGATGTCTCGATCGGGAGCGTCGTTGTTTGCAGGGGGGGCTGTCTGCGGCGCCGAGGCGGGAGCCCCGCACCTGAGTAACAGACACGGAACCGTCGTGCGGGAGCGCTGGTTTTGTGGGAAAGCCAGCTTTCGGCGAGCAAGAGCCTCAGTCCCCAGCAGGAGAGGAGGACGTATCGACCGGGATCGTTGTTGTTGTTGTTGCTGCTGTTGTTGTTGTTGTTTTTGCTATTGTTGTTGTTGGGGGGTGCGCTTTCGGCGCACCCCCGAAACGCCTCAGCGTAAGCGTCCATTTCGAAGGAGAATGCAGCCCGCTCTTAGGCGAGAGCGCCAAAGCGGACTCAGGGGTCCCCCAGTAAACATCGTTTAGCAATCAAGATTCAACACCAGCAACACAGCGAACAGCAACAACAATCATTTTAAGATTTATCCCAAGCCCTCGGTACCCGCCCTTATCGTCTTCGATCGTACCCTCTTGGGAGTTTATTTCCCTTACCTGTCACGCGCATTTAGTGCACCCCCTAAAACAAGGAAGGAGAGGACGGGTGGAAGGTGGAGGGGGAAGAATGGAGCACGAGAGAAACTAGCAGGAGGGAGGCAAGGAGCAGAAAAGAAGTGGCATAACCAGACGGGCAGATCGGGTGGGCAGACCCATAGCGGGCAGGTCGGAAGGCTGGCCCAGGCGACCAGGTCGAGCGGGCGGGCGGGCCGAGCGGGCAGAGCGATCGTGAGTTCTGCGTGATTAGCCAGGAAGTTTCTAGCGAGAGCGATTCCTAAGTAGATTTGAGGACGTCCCCAGCGAACGCGCGATTCCTGAATGGCTAGAGCGCGGCGCCTGAGTAAATTGCGATGAAGTCTCAGGCGGGAGCGCGATTCTTGAGTTAATTTGCGAGGAAGTCTCAAGCGGGAGCGGGGGACCGGAGCAAATCCCGAGGAAGTATCAAGCAGGAGCCGTTGTGGTTGTAAACCGGGGGCCAGGGGCACAGTTTGAGGAGAAAAAAATAACAGGGTGCGAGCGCCGGGAGGGGCACTTCATTTGAAAAAATAGGATGTGCACCGGAGGGGGGGATCAACAATACTTATTTTTCATTTGTTAGAGTTCAACAGCAACAACAACACCAACATCACCACCACCAACAACAACCACAACAATACACACAACACCAACGACACCAACACCAACACCATACGCAACAGCAGCAACAACACAAACAACATAATCACCACCGCCACCAACAACACCAACACCACCACCACCAACAACAATAGCAACAACAGCAACAGCAGCAGCAACAACAGCAAGACAACAGCAACAGCAACAGCCAAGTTATACCAGTAGTAGATATGTGCAGGTCGATGGTTCGCCGCAGTTCTTCCGCCGTAGAGCTCATCTGTTCAGAGTGGGGCCATTACGAAGTGATTGCACGTCTGAATAGGTAGATAGCAGGACGGGCAGTTCAGTACAGCAGCGTAGCACAACTTAGCATAGAGAGGTGGGTGGGTGACGTCACCTGGGCCCACTGGGAGAAGAGGAAGGAGAAGAAGCAGAAGACGAACAAGAAGAAACATCACTGTAATAGTACATAGTATGAGAGGCAACCTACTACGAATGGCAAGAAACAGAAGGACACCAATGGTCGGCCCTCCAGGCATCTTCGCGGCACGAGCGAAGCTGTGAGAGGCCCCGTCGCGCCGCAGCATCAGAGGCGGCCTCCCGCGACAGGGCCAGCGGAGCGAGCGCCACCGCCTGGTTAGGGAAGGCGCGCGGCTCGCCCTCCGTGCCCCATCGGAGCTCAGAGCGTTGCGGCTGGCCGCGGCCGAAAAAGCTGCGCGCGCATCCTGGGTGAGACCTTTGCCTTTCCCCCTGGCGGTCGACGGGCGTGACCAGGGGTGGCGGGGGAGGGGGCGGTCACGTCACGATTCGCGCCGGGGCCGTCTGGGAAGGCCCAAGAGAATGGCTCGTGCCCAGACGGCGCTGCTCGAGCCGTCATTCCTGATGAGCCTGGTTCCCACCACCACCACCGTAAGATGGAGGGGGGAAGCAGGAGGAGGAGGAGGAGGAGGAGGAGGAGGAGGAGGAGGAGGAGGAGGAGGAGGAGGAGGAGGAGGAGGAGGACCCCCCCCTCCAATTTATGGTGGTGGTGGTGGAAAACACGCCCATCAAGTTCTTGAGATCTGGGCGTCGGAGTTTTTGCATTCCTCTCCGGCTTCGGGCGCCTGGGCCGTGGGCCACCGCAGCTGGATCGCAGTCCTGCCCGAAGTTTGTCGCAGGGAGATTGGGTCTGGGGCGCCAGTCGTGATACAGTCGGGGCCCCGAAGAAGGAACCCTTTTCGTTGGGGAGGGGCTCGGTGTTCCTTGATTGTTATGCAGTTTGTCTCCGGTTTTCCTGAGGTTTTCCATGGGAAATCGAAGTTCAACTTGTGGGAGAAAGGGGCCTCGTTCCTTATCTAGAGTTGCTTAGGTCAACGCCCCGACGGTAGTCACGATGTTTTGTTTCTGCTCGTTTTGCGACGTGGGCCCTCAGGGCGATGTCTTCTTCCAGATGTTCTCCTCGCGGCTCTCCGCCCTCCCCTTTTTGCTCTTCGCCGCGGGGGCGAGGGGTCCTCGCGAGACTGCTCACGGTTCCCGGGCTCCCTCTGGGCCCTCCCTCTGGGCCCCAGGGCTGTTAAGGAGCGGCTCCAGACGACCAGCCAGGTTCCCGAGGGAGAGGTCCGGGGTCCGACGGAGCTGGCGCCACTGGGAAGTCCGTGTCCCTCGTGGGAGGTCCTGGTGCCCGGCTGGCCACGACCTTGCAGACACGTCGCGCAAGTTGGCGCCGCCTGGGGGTCTGAGCTGGTCGAGCAGTGGTGCCAGCCAGGAAAAAGGGCGGGCCGGTCTGCGGCTCTGGGTGCGGGGCGGTCTCGTACCTTTTGTGGGCCCGGGGACCGCCAAAAGCAGATCCAGGGCGAAGATGTGCGCCAGATGGACCCGGGGAGGGGGCCGGGGACGGATTTTGAACGGGCTTGGCTTCGTCCCCCTTCCTGGCCGATTTTCTGTGGCAGCAGCCAGTTCAGACCCCCTGGCCGCCTCCAAGGCGGTCTGAATCCTCCTCTCCCCGAGGGCACCTTTGGCACATGATGGCTGGAAGATGTGCGCCAGACGGTCTGATCATGAACACCGCCTTTCTTACAGCGGCCTGCAGCCATGCAAACGGATCCTGTCTGTTTGATCGTGCCTCTCCATGCTTCTCCTTTGTTCCGTTAGGTATACGTTACTTGTGTGCCTTGGATGTGTTTATTTGCCACAAGTATGTTCTCCGTGCGCTGTCAGCAACGAGTTCATCTCCTCGATATCTGCTCTCCACGACGCTCGTAGACCCATCATTATCCCTCCCTCCCTGTTCAGCTGCGCAGGCACCCCTTCCTCCTAATGTTGTTTTGCGTCTTCCCCTCCTCCTCGTCCCCATCCTCCTCCTGCGCTTGATCTTGCTCCTTCTTCTCTTCCTCCTCCTCCTCCTCCTCCTCCTCCTCTTCCTCCTCTTCATCCTCCTCCTCCCTCCTCCGTCCTCCCTCCCCCCTCCTCCCTCCTCCCTCCTCCCGCATCCCTCCTCCTCCTCCTCCTTCCTCCTCCTCCTCCTCCTCCTACGCCAGGGGGGCGCTCGTGCAGCAGGCTCGGCCTAAGGCCGCATGTCGTTACGTTCTGCCCTGGGACCCGCTAGGAGAAACACTTCTCCTGGCGAAGGACCCAAGCATATGCAGTTGTGAGTTGTGAGTACTCCAGATTTCGTTAATAAAAGGGAGGGGGTCTGGACCCTCCAAGACAAGCCATTTCAGACCTCCCCCGTGGAAGAACCCTCCAGAACATCGTCCCCAGACCCCCCAGGCCCTCCAAGATAGCCTGGAAAAGACCCCCCCCGAAATGAGACCCCCCTCCCTTTATTACGAAATCAGGAGTATCGTCGTTGTGAACATCGCCTTCAGTGGATCTCCTCATGGGGCCTTGGGCGGAACTGCCTGTGAGGCCATGAAGCGTGGGAAACAGGTTGGGGGAAGGGTGCGGGGATACATGCGAGCGGTGGCACTGGGACACTGGGTGGGGCTCCCTGTGGGGCCATGGACCGTGTGAGTGGTGTGCCGAGATGGGTGTGGGGCCGCATGCAGACGTCGCCACCGGAGCCTTCGGTAGAGCTCCCGACGGGGGCACGAAGCGTTTACCGGGTGTGCCGTAATAGGTGGCGGGGACGCATGCGGAGGGTGCAGCTTAAGCCTTCGGTGACGCTCCTTGTGGGACCACGAAACGTGCGAAGGGTGTGCTGACATGGGTAGCGGGGACGCATGCGGACGGCACCACATGGGGCCGTGGGTGGAGCTCCAAATGGGGCCATGAAACAATGGGTGGCGTGGCCGCGTACAGTCGGCACCATTCGGGCCGTGGGTGGAGCCCCCCATGGGGCCACGCAGCGTGTGAGGGGTGTGCCGACATGATGGGCACGCAGGGGAGGCGGGAGGAGGGGAAGGAGGGGAGGAGGAGAGGAGAGGAGTGGAGAGTGAGGCTCAGGGCGCTGTCTCTTCAGAACGAGGGCCCAGCACCGCAGGATGGTTGGGACAACTGATCCTCCTCTACGGTATGTTCGTGTCGTGCCGACCGGCGGCGACCCCACCAGCTACGTTCAACTTTGAACGCCGTGGGCGACCCAGAATCGTTCGATGTAGAACGATTTGGATGTTTCGGAAACAGCCGGTCGATCAAGGTTGAACGAATGCCAGCTATGTTAGAAACCAACGCCGAAGTCGGCACCACACGAACTTGTCGTACATTTTGCTTCTCCGTCTTGACCCTCCTTCTCGTCGAGGTCTGCCTGGTCCCGTCGTTTTCCCCGTTCTCCTCGTGCACCCAGTCCTCCCTCGTCCTTCCTCCTCCTCCTTCCTCCTCCTCCGCCTCCTCCTCCCCCTCCTCCTCCTCCTGCTCCTCCTCCTCCTCCTCCACCTCCTCCGCCTCCTCCTGCTCCTCATCTTTCTCCTCCAGCTCCTCTTCCTGATCATTGCGTCCGCTTGCTTCTTTGTCCTCGTCATCGTCTTCCTCTGCCACTATGGCCAAGATGTGTCAAGCTCAACTCTGACTCTTTCTCTCCCCTCGCTTCCTCCTTCTGTCCTCTTCCTGCTTCGTTCCAGCCTGTACCAGCGTGGTGGGGTCCCCTCCCATCTGATGGGAAGGCGGCAGTTCTCATCATCGCGGGTCTTCTCAAACAGCAACATTTGAGCCTAATCGTGCGAGCTTCAGAACGCCACTGCACGACTGGTCCTCGTCCTCCTACCCCATCTCCCCCATCTCCCCCTCCTCCTCCCTTTCCTCCTCCTCCTCCTCCTCCTCCTCCTCCTCGTCCTTCTCCTTCTTCCCCCCATCCAACTTATGATGGTGGTGGTGGGAAACATGCCCAGCATCCCCCCCCTCCCCCTTTCTCTCCCTCCCGTAGCTGGGCTAGCGGCGATGCAGGTCGCGGCGATGTAGGTTTCGGCAGTGGGGGGACGCGCGGCTCGCGCTTTCCTCCGATTCGCGGTGCCGGTTCGCTCGGTCCATTCGCAGATGGGGGGTTATGGGAAAGTGTGGTGCGTGATTTTCCATGTTTTGGTTCCCAACATCACCGTTAAGCAACGTCGCCGTGAGCCCTGCCGTGGCCCTCCCCCCGTGAGCCCCGAGCCGCGACCCTTGAAGGCTCGAGCCCTCGAGCCTCGTAGCCCCCCCCATGCCTCGTTTCCCCTCTCCTCCAACCCCTTCCTCCTTCACCCCCTCTCGTCCACTCCCTCCTCCCCATCCTACTCCTGCTGCTTCTCCTCGATCTCTTCTCCTGACGACGACGGCGACGACGACGGCGGCGACGGCGACGACGGCTTGACAGGCGAGGACCGCGACGACGGCGACGGCGACGGGCGACGGCTTGACAGACGATGGCCGACGGCCATGATGACAGCGGTGACGAGGGCGGCTCTCTCTCTCTCTCTGCCCCCCCAGGACTCTGCGCTGGGCGCCATGTGCGACAGGATATGGACCAGCATGCTGCAGGACGAGGCGCTGCGCACGGTTCTCATACTTCCCCGTCCCTCCTCATTTCTCCTCCTCCGTCCTCCTCCTTCTCCTCCTCCTCCTCCTCCTTCTCCCCCTTCCTCCTCCTCCTCCTCCTCCTCCACCTCCTCCTTCTCTTGCCCTCCCTCCCTCTTCCTCCTCCTCCTCCTCCTCCTCCTCCTTCTCCTCCTCCTCCTCCTCCTCCTCCTCCTCCTCCTCCTTTCTTCTCCTCTCCTCCTCCCTCTCCTCTCCTCCTCTCTCCTCCTCCTCCTCCTCCTCCTCCTCCTCCTCCTCCTCCTCCTCCTCCTCCTCCTCCCCCCCTTGCCTCCTCCTTCCTCCCTCCTCCCTCGATCTGCTTCGGTACGCTGAAGCAAGGTGCGGCTCGGCAGGTCTGAACCGCGCTGGCGCGGTGGGCGACCCCGGCGTGGGCGCTTAAGGCGGAACGCCGCCAGCGGCCCCGAGCGGTCGTAGGAGGAGGAGGAGGGGGTGAGGGAGGGGGAGAAGGAGAAGGAGGAGGGAGAGAGGAGGAGGGGAGAGGAGGAGGAGGAGGAGGAGAGGAGGAGGAGGAGGAGGAGGAGGAGGTAGGAGGAGGAGGAGGAGGAGGAGGAGGAGGAGGAGGAGGAGGAGGAGGAGGAGGAGGAGGGAGGAGGAGGAGGAGGAGGAGGAGGAGGAGGAGGAGGAGGAGGAGAGGAGGGAGGAGGAGGAGGAGGAGGAGGAGGAGGAGGAGGAGGAGGAGGAGGAGGAGGAGGAGGAGGAGGAGGAGGGAGGAGGAGGAGGAGGAGGAGGAGGAGGAGGAGGAGGAG